CAGCCCTGTCGTCCATGAACGATTGTTCACGCTTGGACAAGCTAAGAGCAATCGCTTTTAGTTCAGTGGTCGAGCGTTGGCTTGAAGCCACAGGTCGGTGGTTCGAACCCACCAGGGCACAGCCTCTCGTTCCATGAACTGTATCCCTGAATGGACAAGCTTAAGGGCAACGCCCTTCAGCTCAGTGGTCGAGCGCTGGCTTTGAAAGCACAGGTCGGTGGCTCGATCCCGTCCGGGACACCACTTTCGCTGTTACAGCGCATCCACATTTGGATCATGCTCATCGAGCAAGTTGTTTCAAAACAACTATGCGTCTATCGAGACGCTTGTGCCTGAACCTTGTTCGGCACAACACGAAGCACCTGCTTCCTTCGGGACCATGTCCCTAACACTACGAGGTCTCTCCACCTCCTGCTCCCGCTGCGAGCACCGCTCATACGTACGAGCTGGCTGCTGCAGCCACTGGTCAGAGCCTGAGCTCAACTACTGACCTCATCGCTCCCCACTCTAGTGGGAGGCGCCCAGCGCCTGGCGACGCTGTCGCACGCCATGGTGGCGCTTCGGCACATGATGTGCCCGGTCGTAAGCGTCAACGACGTCAGGGCAATCTTGCCGGAGGATAACCTCAAACTCCCATGAGTTCTGTGAGTGAGGGTAACCCCTCCACTTCACTAAGTACTGGGTACGACCCTGGCGTCTACGCCACGCCACAAGGCGTTCCACGTGAAAGTGGAGCTCACCATGCTCATCGAGCAGAGCAGGAGGAGGCCTTGCCTCAGCTGGGCTCTCGCGGGGAGAGTCAGCACTTGCCGGAACGGCGTCTGCGTCCATACGACGCCGGCGTCCACGACGCGAGCGTTCACCGCCCATCGGTCGATCTCGAAGAGATGATCCACCTTGTGGATAGGTTAGAGCCACCACTGTTGACTCACAACCAGGTCTCGGACCTTGAGCGTCCAGCTGCTCGGCTGAACGTTCAGCTTGCCTTGCTCCTGCATCTCGAGCACTTCGCTCCGCGACCTGTGGCTCTGCCACATGCTGTTGATCCGCCATCTGTGGATCCACCACTTGCTGTCGCTCAGCCTCCCGTGGCTCTACCACCTGCTGCCCTGCAGCTGTCCGTGGCCCAGCCACCGTTGGTGCCAACGCCTTCGCGCTCACCTGAGCAGGGTCTTGATATGGCTTAAGCAAGCCAACATAGAAGACCGGATGCGTGCGCATCTTCTTCGGAAGGTTGAGCGTATACGCTAGGCCCTTCCTGGCCACGACCTTAAATGGTCCTATGAACCGAGGTCTTAACTTCGTTTTGAAGACTGCAGACACTGCATGAGTAGGTAAGTTTTTAGCGTTTAATAAAACTTGGCCACCGACCTCAAACCGCTCAACATTGCTTCTGCCCTTGGCATCTGCATGTTCCTTCTGCGTGTCTTGGCTTTCAGCCATAGCGTCGCGTACTTGACGCATTACGCTCAGTCGCAAAGAGACAAAGTCATCGACTTGCTCGCGAACCGCAACAGGGCTGACATCAGCTAGCCGCTCGGCTATCCCTCCCCCATCAAGCCCTGAGCCACTGCGTGGCGGCGTCAGTGGAACGCGAGGGTTAACCAAGCCGTTCACATAGAACGGAGTGTAGCCTGTCGAGGCGTGCACTGCATTATTTAATGCGAACTCAACGAGTGGGAGCATCTGGCTCCAGCGTTTTGGCGCCTCAGCGCATACGCTTCGGAGGGTATCCTCCACAACGCGATTCACGCGTTCGGTTTGACCATCGGTCTGCGGATGGTCCGCCGTGGACATGTCCAAACGAGTGCCGAGCACTCTGAAGAGGGACGTCCAGAACTTCGCGGTGAAGCGCGGATCTCGATCCGAGACAATTGCCTCAGGCAAGCCATGTTGGCGAAAGACTCGGTCTAAAAACAGCAAAGCTGTACCTTCACCATCAATGGTGTCCGGCACTGCCGCTAAATGAGCCATCTTGCTCAATCGGTCTACAAAGACCACTATACCTGTGTTTCCCGCCTTATCCTTGGGAAGGCCAAACACAAAGTCCATACTCATGGACTGCCAGCATCCCTTGGGGACAGGCAAACTCGCCAATGGCGCTGCCGTGCTCGGCGCGGACTTTGTCCGTTGACACGTCTCACACGTGCGTACATAGGTGCCGACCCACTTATACATCTTGGGCCACCAGTACATCGAGCTCACCGCGACCAGTAGGTCTTCTCCCGACCTAAGTGCCCGCC